TTTTAGTAAGTGCCCAACAACATCTGAATAAGTCTAATATCCAATCATTTGCATAGAGGAAACCCTAATGTTGACATGTGTTTAAGAAGCTTGGAATAAAAGATGTTTTGAATTTTTTGTATGTTACATCTTTAAAATACTATAAAGGTCTAACATTCCATTTTCTTTTGTACACTATAAACAAACACAAATTTAATCAAATTGCAAAGCACTGCAAAGGAAAAAGTAAGCCAAAGCAAAGACAATAAAAATATTACCCCTTTCACCTATTTGAATCAACAGAATAAGCAAACACCAACAGATAAAAGATTTTCCACAAGAAAAAAAATTCAAGGACATAAGGTAAACTTGCCCTTATATTAATTAATGGTTATTTGGTATTCTTAAAATTCCCAACATATTATTATATTACATATTTTCTCTGATAAATCTTTACTAGTATCAGCTTGAAATTAATTTTCACATTCAATTTTAACTTGTAATTAAAGAATATTTTCTATAAATTATCAGTGGGCATGTTTTTTCACTGACAAACTAGTTTTAAAATGTAAAATTACTATATGTATATTGAATATTACTTCTTCCTTTTATGATTTAAAAATAATTATTAAGCTATGGAGGTCTTTTTAGATGAGTTATTCTAGTTTTCCGTAAAATAACTCATTTTTCTATGTTTGAAAACAAACTCATAAAAATGGGTACGACGACTATTTAAAATCCATGAAGCAGAAACCAGAATGTGAAAATATTTCGTGTCTGAAATATAGTCCTTATAAGAATCCTAAGATCTGCAAATGCGACATCCTACGCCATTTCTAAAATGTGATCAGTATCATCAAAAAGAATGTACACTTCAGATCATAAAGACCACTTTGATGACTCAACTACTGATTTAACTGTAATCCTCAAGTCCCATTACATTGGAAAGTAGTTAATGTCTTACTGTTCTGATAGAAACTACATGTATCAACTGTTTCAGTATTAATCAAAAGTGCTTTGATATAAGGAAATGGAATTTGATAGGCTTTTTCTCATCCTTTTCTCAAGGTAAAAAAACAATCTACAGTTTATGTTTCATTGACAAACTTTACTGATATTTTCCTACTCAAATGGTGGTAGCTATTAAATTTCAGATGTTAGATAAAAACATTTACTTACTTGCTACATAAAATACAGACTTTGGCAAAGGTTTCCTTTATCCTCAGAGATAAAACTCCACGCTCTCAGTCTCGAAAATGGTTTATCTTTTAGGGGGAAAAAATATTCTAAACAATTTATTGATGCAACAACCAATAGCAAGTAAGGACAAGTGTTTTATAACTTTTTATTAAATAAAAAAAAAACGAAAACTAAAATCTATGTTTACAAAATCTGATTTTTAAAATGTCCTTCCCTAAAATCTATTAGTAGGAATAGTAACTAGCTCAAGTTTTCCAGTATTTGTATTTATTTACATATTTAGAAGATTAAAACTGTTTGCACAATATATTAGAGAGCTAAAAACAAAAAGTGTATCATGGTTTTCCTCAGAATATAATCAGTCTTTTCTTGTTCCCAAAATTAAACAAAGGCATTAATGGGCCTTTAGTATTTAACTATTCAAAAGGCGTATTTATTTACAATGGCTATGCAAATATACTTTCCACTCAGTAAAAAGGTTTACAAGGCTTGTAAAATTATTTCAGATATTTATTAATATTCATAATCACCACTTACTGGAAATATAAATTATCAAAGAACAAAAACAAAACCTAATCGGCTAATTTTTATGTCAAAGTAATAAAAATTTACCCAGTCTTACCTCAAATAAAGAGCTGTATTTGTTCAGAAGCATCATCAACCAAATGTAATTGTAATCTTGTAAGTTACCTTAAAAAAAAAAGGGAAGATGATATCAATGCTTTGATTTTTAAACATTTCTTGGCCTAAGTTTCAGTGTGATGAAACAATAATCCATAGACGCAATCTATGGATAGATTTAAGAGACAGCTCATCCACACACTACCTGCACCTATTAGGTTGCAGTTATTTCTTATCTTAGCATCTGTCAGTCTTTGTTTTCCTCATCTTTCAGTTGCATGGACTAATACTTGTGATTAAGGTGTTGAAATTAAAAAAATATACAGAAGATTTACATCTTTAGACAGATTTAAGATTATGATTTTGTTTTTATTTTTCTTCTTTTGAGGCCAGGCAATACCAAAAAACAAAGGAAAAGTTTACCATTTTTCAAAGACTGAAATCTTAACATTTCCCTTACCATCTAGAAATACCTTTTAAATTTTTGAGTAATTGAAAATTAACTCTTCCAGGAGAAATTAGTGAAGTTAAAATGGCCACTGGCTACTTTAAATTTTTAAGCTACAAGTTATTTGATCTCACCAAATGGGATATTAGCTTTGTTTTTTAGTCAAGTCTAAGACATGTAGTATCTATGACATTTGTTCAATTTCAAACCAGGGTCTTGACTATTTTTAGTCTCTCCCTTCCCCCATTACTCATGTAAAAAGATCCTATGAGGTTAAACTGCCAGCAATTATTTTGCATTTCACTATTCAAAAAGGATTCTGAAACACCAGATTCAGAATATTCATTTCAAATCACTTTCAGTATTCAAAAATTTCAAAAATGTTCATTTGAAAAAACAAAACTGGTACTCAAACAACACTGCCTAAAATCAAGATATGCGCAACTGATGGAACATGTAGCCCTATATGAATGCCATTCGGAAAAAAAGAAAAAAAATTTTTACTGACAAATATACCCTCAGAAATACGGTCGACTCCTGCAGTTTCTTTGATCTTTTAAGTACTGTACTAGGTAAATTTGCCCAATACTATTTTTACGTAAATCTGCACCTTTACAACACACAAGAGGAAGAGGTACCGCAAAATGAAGACAAATATATTCTAAAATACACAAAGCTTTTTGCATCTGTGGTTTGTTCAAACCACTTAACTTCAATTCCCTCTCAAACAATTTTTCAAATTCGTAGGCAGAGGACAATGCAAATTTTTTGAAACCAATCTATATTATTGAAATACTGTTCCGTTTTAAGAATATCTAGATTTTCGTGCATGCAACAAATGCAACAAATATGGCTCCTCTTCTTCGTCCATTACCGAGAGCAATCCTACTTTAAAATTTACACTGCGAGAAAGTAACTTCACAAAGAGATTTGGTGTCAAAATATTCCCCTGTAAAAGTTTTGTCGACCATGGCTTGTGATAATATAGATTATTTTTTAAAAAATAATATAATGAAGAACTTAAACTTTTAAAAGTCTAGGAACTGACCCAAGTACGTTCTAACATTCAGGTGTGCTAAGTTACACATAACGGCTCCTTATGACCTTTTAAAAAGTATCAAAACATTATTCAAACATCAGAATGTCAGGTAAACTCGGCAAAATAAACTGTATTAATCAAACGTCATCGTCTAGCACCTCAATTAAATTCTATTCCCATTAAACAGCCTTGACATTATAGTAAACTTGTCTTCCTAATTTTTGAAATACGAGACGCCCTCCTCTAACTTGCATTTTAAAAGACAACCTTAACGTCATCAAGGTTTTAATAAGCAGCAAGTACCTTCTCATCTGTTAATCCTGCAGCCGTTTTCAAAATCGGCTTTGAAAGAGTTAAGAGCCAACACCCAAAAGAAAAAAAAACAAGTTTTATTTTTCTTTAAACGTAGCCAAGGTGCCATTGTTCTTTTAAACTCGACCATCAAGATGAATTCCCACCTTACCGGAAAGAGGTTAACAAGCTCCCCCGTTGAAGAACCTGAAAGGGATTTTCTTTTTACCCTAAATATCAAAATAACTCACCAGGACAGAAAGGGGTTCTTCTCGCGCGGTCCCCTTCGGGCTCCCGCCTGCAGTCACCCGCCGCCACCCCTTTCCCGGCGGGGCCGATGCCGGCAGTGAGGCCGCCCCCTGCCCACCGCAGGGTCTGGAGAAGGGCCCCCCGCACCACCCGGCCCTGGGCCCCGCGGCGCCGAGGCGCTTCCCGCCCGGGGAACCAGCCTACGACGCCGGCGGGGTTTTCACAGAGCCAGGCAGAGAGGCCCAACCCGCCACCCCCTCCTGCTCGCGTGTTCAAGGACATTTTGCTTTTCCTCCCAAGGACAAAGGACAATAAAAGGGGCCGGGGAGCCGCTTACCGGGTCGGAGCGCGGCTGCTGGCACCTGGAGGTCGCCCGCACACGATTCCCGCGCCGGGCCTCTTGCCCGCGCCGGGTCGAGCCTCCGGGGCTTTGGGGAGCCTCTGCAGACGATGCCGCAGCGGCGCTTTCGGCGTCGTGGGCCCGGCCGCTCCGGCAGCCCCTGCCGGGGGATCGGACCCCGACACACGGCCGATCTCGTCTCAGCCGGGACCGCTTCGCCCCCGCGAGCCTGCGGGCCGCTCCGGCGCAGCACCACGCCAACCAGCGGGCTCCGCGGCCGCGTCAGGACGCCTGACAGCTCGGGGTGCTGCTGCCTCTCCGGCCATCTTGTGCCGTGTGTGTGTGGTGTCTCTCTCCCGTCTCCTCTCTCGGCTTTACTCCCTCCTCCTCCTCCCCCCCGCCCCACACACCACACAACATGGCCTCTTCGCTGCGGCGGCGGCTGCGGCGGCGGCAGGAGATCCGCGGCGCTCTTGCCCGATCCCCTCCTCCACACTCTCGCCTCCCGCCTGCAGCCCCAGGTCCCAGCGCGCACGCGCGCCGCCGCCCGCCCACCGCGGCCATTGGCTCTGCATTCTTCCTGCCACGCCTTCCCCGGAGCGGCATCACGCACGCTCGCTGGGGTCTCCCTTCCTCCCAACAACAACTACTTCGATATTATTGGTTAGTTCTGACCCCACCCCTTCAGGTTCCTCCTCGCCGATAGGCTTGTCTCAGTGTCACTCACTTCCCTAGAGGGTTTATGGTTTTTCTGGATGAGCCCGGGCCAACGATTGGTTGATGATGAAAGGTTTGGTTTGAAGCTGTTACTTTGCACCCCGCAGTGCGGACCCCTCAGGGCCGTCTCGGAGGGAGGGTGGGTTCGTGACGCGGTGTCCAGGCCGGGATTACTAGAACAGTGAGTGCCCTGGAGATAAGGGCGGCTTCTTCGCCTCTGGAAAAATCTTGGGATTCTGTGCTTCTGAATTCAGGTTCTTGCTTTTTTTTTTTTTTTTGAGGAAAATGACTGACAGGATGATGAGCAAACAAGACGTAGGTTCATAGTCCTAAGGCAAGCAGCCATATCTTCTCAGCTATACGTATCAAAATTTTTGTTCTAAACAACCAGGCATCCTTCAGGGCCACAGAGTCAAAGCCAATGGTTTTACAACCAGCGCATGCCCTTAGCCCAATATCTGACTTGAAATGCTTTTATTTGAGAGTATGTAAGCTTCCTGTTGCCCATTTATACGAGACAACCTCCTGGCATGTCCAGTGTCCTGAGTCCTTAATGAAGCAGGATCTCATAACCCTGGTTGGGCCAGATTGCACCCTCTAGGGCGGTATTTGTTAAATGGGTAGTTTGAACCTGAGCTATCACCGTCTATCCCTTCTTCTCAAAGAGAATCAAACAAAACAAAGTTTGTTTCCTTCCAGCAAATCTCCCCTTTTTTCATTGTCTTCCGACTCAGACCCTGAAGCATCTCTGGGCTGCCCACAGGAATAACTGAAACACGAAATTTCCTTGAATTGAGTTGGCTCTCTCCCACTGCCAGCATTTTAGAAACCTTGCTCCTTTTGGGAAGGGACCTGGAGAAAAGGAAAGGAAGCCCGTGATAACTCCTTTTTTAACAGATTTGTTTTTGAGGGGAGGGGTCTTGAAGCTAGGTGAGAATCTTCTTAAGTTCTCTGGAGACAGTGCCCCTGGGTTAAAATCAAAGGATGTCGAATACTTGTAGGGCCTAGGAACTAGTTTTGGCCTTTTTAAAAAATGACAGTTGTTCATTGACTTGGGCTCAATATGGCATCCGCTGCTTCAGGCAGAGTTAGAACTGGAGCCCAACTCTCCTGACTTAGAGCTCTTAGGTTCCTGGTGCATGACCTGGCCACAGTCCTTGGCAATATAATTGGAGCCCTAAGTGTGCACACAAAAAGAATGCTTCTTGAACTGAACTTAAACTTTCTCCATTTAATTTCCAAGAGTCATTCCCTTATACCATCTAGCTTTGAACAGGTAGCCTACCAAGGAGGCTGTTTTCTCTGAAATAGTTCCACCCTGAACCCTTTTTCCCATTCTTCCTGGTATGTTCTTTCTCTTCACCCCCTTTTCCCTCACTATCGCTACGTGAAATCCATCTGTGGGTGTGCTTTTCCAGACTCATCTCCACATACTTCTGTGCCAGCAAAACAGGCCTGAACAGGCCTTTATTAAAAGTACTAGTAGCTGAAAAGCGTTGAGTTAGCTTTGTGCCAGGCATTGTTCTAAGCCTTCATTGTATAGGAACTCAGTTGATCACACAACACCCCAAGGAAAGACTATTATTATCTCTTGTGTGTTAATCTCCATTAGGAAACTGACACAGAAGGAGTTTGACCTGCCCGGGTTCACACTGCTAAGAAGTATTAGAACCAGACTGAGCCCAGGCCTCAGGCTCCAAACCCATTCCTTTTTGCCTCTCCCGGTTTCATTTTGAAGACCGTCCCCTTGCAAAATAGGTTCGCTTGGGTCTTTTGTTGTATGTAGCTGCCTGATTTGCCCTCTCCTTCCTCCTCCACTTCATTGAAGTCTTCCACCTTCAGAATTGGGCCTCCCTCCAATGGGACATGTCAGATCCTTTCTAACATAATCCCCAGACCTGGGCCCCATTCTGTTGTCAATCTCCTGGCATGTCACCTGGGAACCATCTAGTTCTCTTGTTTCTTGTTTGGGGACACCAACAGTTCAACTGTGGAGAGATGCCCCCTTCATAAATGTACACCTTGGGCAGCTTACATGAAACAGCTTTCTTTTCCCAAGCTTCCACACCACACAGCGACCTCTTCAGAGAAGGCCCTTATCTGCCACATTGAACCTTTATCCTCCATCACACACGAGAGCCGTGACTTCTTTTGCCAACTGCATTGTGTCTTCAGCCATCACTCTTTAAAGCTAGGCTAGCTTGGTCCTGGATAAAAAGCACCTGACACTTGGCTGATCACATCCTACCCCCACACAGTTCCTTTTCATGTTAGGTGATCTGCCAAGGAACCCAGAGGGGATCCCTGCCGCCTCCAGTCCTGCTGGCTCCTATTTCCACTGTTTCTTTCCCGGTGAAAATGAAGGGCAGAACCCTTAGCCTTGGCTCACTTAAAGGAACGGCCTCTGCATGTGCTCTGAGCACTTCTGGTTCCATTTCATTGTGTCCAAGGGAGTATTTCTGGAAGGATACAAGGATCTGTTTACACTGGTCATCTCCCAGGAGACCTGAGAGGGAGGTGGAGAACAGCAGTAAGTCTAAGAGCTCTTTTTACTCTATGCCCCTTTGTGATGTTTGAATTTTGAATTACGTGAACATATTACCTTTTTTTTAATGAAAGAAAAACTAAACTTAAATAACAAACTGAACTGAAAGCTAACTGCACTTGTCACAATAAATACCTTTAACTTCTTTTTCTTACGAAATAAAGGTCCCACAATAGTCAGTACCTCCGGGAGTATAACCAGCACCTGAAATGTCCCTGGTTGATGATAAGAATTCCTGGCACATGAGATGGGGGAGCAGCAGCTTCCATTCCTGATGTGACATGGCCTCAGATACTGCAGAGCAGGGCTTCCCACCGTGCGCTGTGCTTCCCTGCAGCTCCCCAGGTCTCTTTCCCGGTTTCTGCCCTCCTCTCCTTTGCTGGTAATTAAAGAAGGGGCAGAGATGCCAACAGGCCTGCTTCTCTCCTGTTTCCAGTCCCTTTTGTCCACCTTTGGCAGGGGTGTCTCCCTTAGAGAATCAACCCAGCTCATTATAGAGGCTCAGCGAAAACCCAGGGTGACCTTGACTCAAGTTAGAGACACAGTTTTCAAATACAGGGCTTTACAGATTCCTGCAGCTCTGCCCCTGCTCTTTGCAGCTTCGCTTGCTGCTCACACCCTGTGTGACTTACACACAGACTATCTCATTTCTGTATACACCCTGCTCCTTCATGGTGGCAACCTTTCCTTTTCCCAGGGTACATCGCACACAGGATTCAAGCTCATCTGATACTGAAAACACGATCTCCAAGCCCAGTTATAGAGCTTCTTCCCTTTACCAGGTACTGTTCTAGAAACTGGGGATTCTGCATGGACTGGGGTACCTGTTCTCATGGAACTTACATTCTAATGGCAGAAGTCCATAAACCGGAAAGTACCAGGTAGTGATGAGTATTAGGATAATGGGCACCTAATTACAGGTGAGTGGTCAGGGAAGGCCTCTCTGAGGAGGTGACATTTAGGCTGAAACAGGAAGGACACAAAGGAGGCAGCTGTGTGTGTGTGTATATCTGCATGCCAGTTCCAAGAGAAGATGGCAGATGGTATGCATGCAACTAATTTTGCTCCATTCCCAAACTACACTAAACATAGACTTTCTCTTTTTTTTTTAAGTCATAAACTCAGAAAAGAAATGTTCACTGAAATCCCTATATAATCTGGCCCTGGCCCCTGTGGCTCAGTTGGTTGGGCGTCACCCCAACCAAAGCAGAAGGCCACTGGTTCGATTCCTGGTCAGGGAACCGATGTCTTTCTCCCTCCCTCCCCTCTCTTCTCTCTAAAAATAAATAAATAAAATCTTTAAAAAAAACAAACCCTTACAATCTGAAATTTGACTTTCTTAGAGGAGTGGTGAATAATCATTTTTGCATTATCCAGGCCTTTGAGTCCTAATGTAATCAATCCTTAGGCATCTCAGAAAAGTGTGCATTCCCTATATATAGTCTTTTTTTTAAGATTTTATTTATTTATTTTTAGAGAGGGAAGAGAGGAAGAGAGAAAGAGAGAGAGAGAAACATCGATGTGCAGTTGCTGGGGGTTATGGCCTGCAACCCAGGCATGTACCCTGGCTGGGAATCGAACCTGGGACACTTTGGTTCCCAGCCTGCGCTCAATCCAGTGAGCTACACCAGCCAGGGCCCCTGTATACAGTCTTTATACAGTTTTTGGAGGTCCACAGACCCCCTGCAAGCCATTTGAGCACTTCAAGATAGGCGGGCAACTTCTTCCATGTTTCACCTTGGCGTCTGAACTCAGGCTTCCATCCTGAAGCCAGACTGCTTTCCATTAGCACACCTCTCATTGGAAATGCTCTTTCCCTTTTACTCAGAAACTCATTTACTACATTTCAAAAGGAAGTGTAAGAGAACCTGTGCTTACCAGCCAAGAAGTAGTGTCAGGAACCAGATTTACAGAGCCACGTGACACAAAGCAAAAACAAACCAAATACAAGAAACGAGGGTTTTTTGAAGACATCAGAGGGCAGGTAACAGAGGATCATGATTCTTGCGTACAGGAAACAAATGAGGCAGGCACTGCTGTTGCCCCAGCTTCCTTCCTGGGTTGTGTCTCCAGGCTCCAGTTCTGGGGGTGGGTGGTTCAGTCACAGCCCAACAATCTCTCTAAGTTGAGGAGATGGAGCTGGGAACCCAAAGAAGGCAAGGTGACTGGAGTTAGAGAGACAGGGTACCAGAGGGAAGAGAACATGAGCCATAGAAGAAGAAAAAAATTAAGATCTTGACTTTATAAATATTAAAATGTCTCTTCTTTGAAACTGTTAAAAAAATGAAAAAACAAGCCACAGATTGGGAGAAAATATTTGCAAATCACACATCTGACACAGGACTTGTATCCAGAATATGTAATGAACTCTCAACATTCAGTAATAATAAACAAACAACCCAATTTTTTTTAATGGGCAAAAGTTTCAGAGACAGTTCACCAAGGAAGATAAACAGATGGCAAATAAGCACATGAAAAGATGCTCAATATCATTAGTCAAAGGGGAAATCCAAATCAAAATACATATAGAAGTTTGAGAATTTAAAAAAACCTGCGAGGTGGTGAGGGTGTGGGGCAACTAAAAACTCTCATTCAAACTTTGTGGGTGAAAATGCAAAATGGTATGGCTACTTTGGAAAAGTCTGGTAGTTTCTTGTCTTAAACATGCTTGGGATATGACTCTGTAGGTATTTACCCAGTGGCATATCTATAAAATGGGATACTACACAACAATTTTTAATGAATGGCTATTAATACATACAGCTATTCATCAGTCTCAAAAATAGTCTTGCTTGAATAGAAGAAAGCAGACAAAATGATTCTGGTTATGTAAACCAATAGAAAGAGGACAAATTCTTTGGATATCTGAGAATGGGAGAGAGGGTAGAAAGAGGTAGGAGGTAATGATTTCAAAGGGCATGAGGAAACTTTCAAAACTAATGAATACGTCCATTATCTTAATTGGGCTGTGGCTTCACAGATGTAAATGTGTGTCAAAACTTTTAAATATGTGCAGCCTGGCATGTATCAATGATGCCTGATAAGCCTGTTTCTGTAACAGTTGCATGAATAATTTGCTTGTTTGCTTATTTGGTGATGGAGCATCATGTGACCATGGTAATGCTCTTAAAACATTTGCTCCTATTTCATCTATTTTTCTCAGCACACACGCATCGTATCCTTTGATTTAAATTTTTTTAAAATAGTTAACACTTCATTCAAAAATTAAAGAGTATACAGTGAAAAGCCTTTCACATCCACCCAGCACCCATCTCTGAAAGCAGTTAATGTAACTAGTTTCCCAAGTGTACTTCCAAAGGTATTCCAGCTTTTCTTATAAGAAACACACTACTGAGATGAATTTACAGTGTGTTTGTGTTTTATGTGTTGGTTCAAAGTTCGCAGGTTCAGGGCATGTTCAGTATCAGACAGACCAATCCAGTCCTTCTAAAGCCACGTTATCAGGACACCCGGCCCCTTGAAAATACGACCATCCATCTCGTGTTTTTCTCACACTGACTACTCGCCTCTTACAGCTCTCAGTATCTGCACACTTCTTCACACAGATGCCCCTTCTACAGAACCAGTGCCTGCAAACGGTTATTTTCTCTGTTTTGAAGTGACGGCTTTCCCTCCTTGTTATTTCTATAACTTAATGGCTGTGCTATTCAGTATTCAGTTGGCTCTTATCATAGTTAATATTTGTCTGTTGCTCTACAGATCACATGTCCCTAAGACTCCACGTGGCTTTCCTGGAGGTAGAGACTTTGACTTAGACTTTGTTTACCACTGCGTAGTTAGAGACGCTCAAGTAACAGCTGGTTAAAGAGTTGCTGTATTAAAACCGCCCAACAGACCATCAAAATCCCCAACAACTATAAATAAAATTCCACTGACTAGATAACTTGATATGGAATGAGCTTCAACAGATTTAGCCGAAGTAACTCTTCACAATTTAATGCACTTTTAATATAAATACAGGTTTCTATTTGTTAGAGCTCCTTAAAAGGAGGACACGCCCTGCCCGTTGGTGGTCAGAAATAGATCTTGCCCCTGGCACTCCAATGGAGTCTCTGGAATGCTGGCGTGTTGGGCAGTTGCTCCTAACCAACCAGCCAGAAGTATCTCTATCCTGAGAACTCCTTGGTATTTTACTCGAGCTCTGATCATTTTAACGTGCAGCAGAATGACTCCTCGACGCGTTTTTTCTCCTTACTAGGTGTAAATACTAGGAAGAGAGCGGGTACAGGCAGTACAGTCACAAGGAAAGCCCAAGGGCCCTGGCATCTTCAGCTTTGGGATCCAACCTGCACTTGGCCATAGCCTGGTGTCTCATCCCAGCCAGGTTCTGAACCTTCCCTACAGTCAAAACTCATGACTCCCACCGTCTCGGGCTCTCTCTGCTCTGAGGTTCTGCTTTCACTTCCTAATGGCTGTAGCTGCCCTGGGACAAATGTCTCCTGGTTGCTTAGACCAAAAAAGATGGCTGGCGGTCTATTAGACTTGAAGCTACTCCAAGCCATACATACGATGACTCAGGCTAACCAACACCCCTCCGCCCACCCACCTCAAAAGGAAACTTACCTTGAGTTTTTTTCTCTCTCCACATTTTGACTTCCTTTCAAAATTTATTTGCTTTTGTTCACTGTTCAGAGACATTGCGTAGTTGTGTTTTGCATTTTGTGTATCATTTGCAGTTGGTCTCTGTGGTGGGGCCAGTCTGTCAGGCACCTACTCTGCCCTAGTGGGAGTGGAACTCCTTCTCAGTTTAAATCTGTTTTTTATTGTTGTTCAAGTACAATTGTCTCTGTTTTTCTGCCCCCATGCCCCCCTACCCCACCCATCCCTGCCTCCCATCAGCTGAATCTTGAGCAGAGGATTGAGAAGAGCTGTGACTGAATCGTTCCAGAAAATGTTCTCAGTAGATGGTTCCACAAACTCCCCAAGCCTCCAAGTTCTTATCTTTTTGGAATCTGGCCCCTGAGACTTCCCTTTTCTGAGTTCCAACCAGAGCAGGTCTGTGTAGCTTACAGCTAAAGGTTAGGTTCTCGCACTTGTCCTCCCAACTGGGCTTTGGGTGCTTTGAGGGCAGGCGTTCGTTCTGTCCTTTCACCTTGGTGTCCAGGGCCCCTCAGCCCTGGCTGCTTTCCTGTCCTGGCCACCACCCCCCTGCTGTGCGGGGGTACTGAGACAAATAGGTGCTAATAACCTTGTTCTTGAGGATCTGCCTGTAAGTCTGGTGGCAGGGTTGGCATTTATGATGTGAAGGTAGCTGATAGGAAGCAGAATACAATCAAATATCTGATTGGGGGCTAAATAATAACGTCTCTGAAGTCCAGGAATGGCAAAGACCAGAGTGGGTGGGAATTGCCTGGAATAGTTTCTTGGAGAAGAGGACTTACCCTGCGCCATGGGGAGCTGGGTAAGGACAGGTAGATCCATGCTCTGTAGAGAGTAGCAGGACGGTTGATCATCAGTCCCCCAACACCACGCTCTTGAAAAGTCATACTTCTTAAAGTTATATGTTGACATAGCAGCTGTATTCAAACGGGAATAAAAAGAAGCAGCAGCAACATGAAACTAGCCTCAGACAGGTGGATAGAACGAGCAAACGATATAACAGATAATCAGCTTTGCTCAAAAGCTATGGGAGACACTTCATACTGAGTGCAGTACATAGCATTTAAAAATTAATCTGATCAAGCAGGGAAATTGGTGTCGAGCTTCTGTAGTCTCAGCTTGGAGGTCAGAGTGTATCATGTGTGACGTGAACATATTTAAGGGTAAAATCGGTTTCATTAGCTACCGCCTCCTGCGGACATGGTATAAAACTATGGGGAAAAAAAGAGGCAGAATTCTAGGAGCTAATATTTTCCAGTGTGCTCAGAAATGGGCAGATAAGTCAAGTTCAGGAAACTAAGGGCAGTGCTACAGGAAGATTGTTGCTCAGAGAGAAGGCACAAGAGGCAAGGGGAAGCCTGAAGGTTAGAAGAAAAAGCTGGAAGGCTGGGTAAGAATTAAACTCAGCAGGCAAGGTTTTACTGCTGTCCTGCAATGCTACAGGGCTGCGACGTTAACCCATTCTTCGCCAAAAGTCTCCCGTTCAGTGTATGTATTTAAATCCATGATAGTGGGAAAGGGATTGACTTTAGCACAGTTAAGCTTCTGCCCCACAGTTATGTAAAATAAAGATTAGGAAAGAAAGCTACTTAGAGGAGCCCCTTGACCCTTCTTTCTTCTCAGCCTCATTATACAACAACTAAGGAACTCTCGTGTTCTGTTCGTTCAAATGTTTAGTTGTACATACTACAGACACCGACCATGAGTATGGCGCTCGTGAACATGACCTACAGCTGAAGTTACCTCCGAAGAGGAAGCAGAAGAGAACCCTGGAGATTAAAAAAAAAAAAAAAAAAGTCCTGTTTGGTATTGGTTGCTGAGAGTAGGGGGTAATATTTTAAATACCTGAGGAGGAAAGAGGACAGAAGAAGTTGGAGGGGGTAGGGAGCTGAGCGGCTTCACTGAAGGACTGAAACTGGGGTGCTGTGAATCAGCAGCCTTGGGCAGGAGAAAAAAAGCTTTAGAAGAAGCTCGGTCTCCTGACAGTCAAAAGGGCACACACACCAGCTGGAGAGATCTACGGCAGGGCCGAGGATGGAAGGGGGTCCTTCTGGCTCTGCAAGGAGAAAACACTTGCGTGACTGAGAAGAACCTGGGGTCAGTGACTCCAGATGCTCCGAGTGAGGAGAAATTGGCTCCCACATGTGACTGGGCAATTGAACATTCATGGTGCTGCTTTGTGAGCACTGGGGCTATCTATAAAGCAGAAATACACAAAGGGTGACCGGACTTTCACAATCACACTTCAAGTGGTAACCGGACTCTAAAGATGGATTATTTTTCCAGGATCAGCATGAAACATCAAGAAAACCAGAGTAGAACTCTTCCCCCAACAGATACTTAGGTGATAAGGAAGATCTGTCTGTGACACACTAAAACACATATATCCCAGAAACCCTTCGTGTGAAATTGTATCTGCTTTTAAAAAATTGTGACAAAATACACATAACAAAATTTACTACCTCACTTTTAAATGTACAGTTCAAATGACAGTAAGTACATTCATATTGTTGTGCCGAGGTGTAATTGCTTTTTGAGAGCTCATGAAGCACTTCCGGATTTTGTGGTTCACTTGGTCATCATTGAGAACATTAATTATGGTCGTTCAGGAGGTTGGGAAATGCCTGTCAGTAGAGAAGTTGTAGTTGACAGATGACTGGCTATGAATCTCTGGTGTTCATATCGTTCAAGGGATCTGGTAGGGGCTGTTATTAGCCCAGTGCTGGGCCGCAGCAGCCTGGATGCGTACAGCTCTGGGTATGTTCCCTGAGAGGTGGGGCCGTGGAGGAGTTGAGAGCATGGGGCTGGAGCCAGACTGCGGGGTTCTGAATTGAGGCTGAGTGACCTGCTGGCTGCATGACCTGGAGAAGCTACCTAAACTCCTGTGCCTGTGTTTCCTCTTGTTTAAAAGGAAGGTCACTATAGCTACCTTATTGGTTGCTATGAGCATTCATGAGTAAATATATAAAAACCCTTAGAACAGTTTTTGATATGCCTTTTTTTAAGATTTTATTTATTTATTTTTAGAGAGAGGAGAAGGGGGGGAGAGAAACATCAATGTATGGTTGCCTCTCATGCACCCTGTACTGGGGACCTGACCCGCAACTCAGGCATGTGCCCTGATTGGAAATCAAACTGGCGACCCTTTGGTTCACAGGCTGGCACTCAATCCACTGGGTTACACAAGCCAGGGCCTGGTATGTCTTAAGTGCTATGAAAGAACTATTATTATTGGAGGGAAGGTAGAGTAGAGGAAAGATGGAAGGTGATGTTTCTGATGTTCAGGCTTGAGAGGGATGGAGCCATGTCAGCATGAGAGGGTTGAGTCAAAACCAAACCAAACCAGGTTACACGTGATTTCTATCTATGACATAATCCCTTTGGAGGGAGTTTGGGAAGATTGAGTGCCAGCCCCTTGGCACTCTGGAGTACATACCCAGCAGATCTAGCCATCTTAACAGTCGTCACAAGGACTCACATTGGTCTAACTTAGAATTCTTAGCACAGCAAATGGGTGCAGAAAAGAAAAACAGAACGCATTCCTGCAGGTCTTGTACATTTTCTTCAAATTCTGTGTATAAGTGCTTGAGGGCAGGTGCAGAAACGAGTCAGCACAGCAAGCCTTGGCTAGCATCTGGGAGCCTAGATTTCAGCAGGGGTCCCACTGTTCCCAGAAGTGCTAAGAATGGCTCACTATGACTACACTGTCTGGACAAAAATGTAGAGCATGCTTTCCTTCTGGACATCTGGCACGGGGGGCCTACGTGACTGGCCCCCAGTAAAAACCCTGGGCATGGAGTCTGTAATAAGCTGTCATGATACACACCACCTTACACATGTTGTCACAAGTCACTGTTGGGGAATGAAACGTGCTCTGTGTGCCTCGCTGGGAGAGGACACCTGCAGGCTTGTGCCTGGTTTCTCCAGACTTCACCCCACGTGCCTTTTCCCTTTGCTGATTTTGTTTCGTATCCAAAGTAACCTTGAATGCTTCCAATTACCTTTGGTTTAACTACTCGTATACTTGTGGCTGAATACTTATGATTGACCATTAGCTGTTTCAAAAGCAAAAAAAAAAAAAAGAAGAAGAAGAAGAAGAAAAGAAGTCCACAACAGGACTTTGATCTTTACTTTGATACTTCAACTTTTCCATCATTAGATTTGACCATGAAATCCTTCCTTTCACTCAGCTATCTTTGGTATTATTCTGTGGAGTGACAAGACATTTTTAAATGTCTATCTACCTGGAGATCTAGGGAAAAAGTCTTCTTGGGCAACTTCTACTGCTGAACATGTGGCAAGACAAAAATCCTTTCAATCTGTCAGAACAAATTCCTGTGTGGTTTTTTAGAGTAATTGAGATGAGCTTCTCCAGCTTATTGTAGTTTTCTCAGAGGGTGAAATGTGGAGAGACCTTAATGTTGAATTACTGCTTCCCCTACAGAGAAGGTCTCCAAAACTCCTGACCAGTCCTAGATTGTGACTCTGAGTCAGTGATCCTCCAAGTTTCTGTGGGTGTTCTACACACCTTCTCTTGGTGAATAGATAAACGGAAAATAAGGGGAGCCTTGAAATGATCTCACTGAGAAATCTACTGGTTTCCTTATGTCTTCAGTGTCTGAATTTTCACGCCATCATTTTTGTTGAATTATAAGAACTTCTGTTTATGTAGTTGCTAAGCAAAAAAAAAAATGTTCTTACTTAAAATGAGAAGTTAACTCAATTTCTAAGACCTCTTTCTTCATTGAAAGCAACAACAACAAAAAAAGAAAAGTAATATGTTTCCACACTGTGTTCGTTCCCCAGGGCTGCTATAACAAGCTACCATGACCCAGGGGACTTAACAACAAAAATTTATTCTCTCACCATTCTGCAGGTTAGCAGTTTGAGGTCAAGATTGTGGCAGGGTTGGTTCCTTGTAAGGATTCTGAGGAAGAATCTGTCCCATGCTTCTGTCCTAACTTCTGGTGGTTGCTGGCAATCTTTGGTGTTCCCTGGCTTGTCGAAGGATCACCCTGCTCTCTGCCATGTTCGAATCATCTTCGAATGGTGATCTCCCTGCGTGCAGTGTCTGTATCTGAGCTTCCTTATTTTATAAGGACACTAATCATACTGGGTAAGAGGCCCACCCTACTCCAATATAACCTGGCATTAACTAATTACATTCGAGGCAACCCTGTGTCCAAATAAGGTCACATTCTGAGGTGCCAAGGTTAGGATTTCAACAGATGAATTCAGGGAGGGACACAATTCAACCCATAACACATGTGACTACCTTTATCTTAACAAATGACTACATGACATTGTGTAAGAGAGCTCCTTCTCTGGGCCTTAGGTTCTTTTGTAAGAAGGGTGATTGTGACTGTTCTTGCTCCCAAGACTGTGGGTCTCCAGGAGGCCAAGGACCAGCTTGTCCTAATTGAATAGGCTGAGATGGAAACAGGTCCGGTTTTACTTTTTCTGTTCAGACAAGCACCTGGAAGCAGAACCATGTCCTTGCTCTACCTTCCGTGCTCCTGGTGGCAAGTCCTTTGTTCTCATCTGCTGCAGTCCTTGCACATGAGCTGTGCTTCAGTACCAGCTCAGCAGCAGCTCCCCACGTGGTTCCATCCCCTTTGCCAGGACGACATCCCTCCCTCCTCCCTTCCTCCCAGTATGTGAGCAACTGTCACCATTGCAGGTTCTCACATCTGGCTGCACGTTCTTCTTCTGACTTAGTGACACTCTGTCACTTCCAGCCTCCCTTTCCCAGGCCTGCCTCGTTCTCCCAGGACTAGTATGGCACAGGCCTCCATATCACACCAGACTGTGGGCGTTGAACTGCACACTCAGCAGCTCCCCTTATCGCGTGCCCTATTAGATGTGAAACTCCCCAGTAACGATATTGTAAAGCTACACATAATGTATTCCTCATTCCTAGAATAGAATTCACTGCAATCCAACTTTTGGAGCAGTTGGTTTGTGGAGCCAGTAAACCAGCTATTAAAATATGCTGGCAGTGATTGTGCTCACAAACAAAAACTATCAAAATCTTAACCTATATTCAATAAAACTTAGTAGACTGCATACTCACAGACCTGCTCTCAGGTCATGGAAACATGGGCTGGGAGGGGCCTTTAAATAAAAAGAAGACCAGGTGCCTCCCTGGATATGTGATATAGGAAAGAAATTCGATCCCATGAGAAGATCAATGTGAAGGTTAATTTCATGTGTCAGCTTGGTTATGTTACGGTGGCCACTTGTTTGGTCAAACATTAGACTGGATGTTGCTGGGAAGGTATTTTTAGATGTGATAAACATTTACAATCAGCTGACTTTCAATAAAGAAGATTATTCTCAATAATGCCTCATCAAGTCAGTGGAAGCTCCTAAGAGCAAAAATGGAAGTTTCCAAGAAAAGAAGGCATTTAGAAAGAGAGAGGGAGAGGGGGAGAGAGAGAGAGAGAGAGAGAAAGAGGGAGAGAGGAAGTATCCTATTGGTCCTATTATGGTAAAGAACCCCTGACTGATAGGATCAGACTCATTCCTAATGAGTTGTGTGAATAAAGGATCTGAGATAAACTGAGAGGCCCAATACCAAGTCTTCAGCAGTTGTGCACTCTGGGTGGTAGGGAAACAGAGAAGGAGAAAGAAAATGGCATTTGACAACTTCAGATAATTTGCTTCCCGCTTGGAACTTTGCCAATAAGACAAAGTGCTTCCAAGAAGGAAATCTATGAAGTTTTCATAAATCCCCATACCTCAGATCCAAAGATGGGGTGAATTCTCAGTCTACCTCTACAAGTAAATGCTTAGGACATGTCCCCATTAACAGGCTGTAAGTGTAAGGTGGACTTCTCTTCTTCATCTACACAGTTTTTGAAAAGATGCACTAAGTAGGTTATTCTAGCCTCAAAGGCAATGAAATGAAATGAATTATGGATGACTCAATGGAGAAAACTGTGCAGATAAAAAAATATACATCTTCTAGGTCAAAAATAAGCTAATTAAATCAAAACTCAAAAGGCAAACACTAGATGAAGGGAACTATTTTTTAATATTATGGAACAGAATTAATAGTCTTAATATTTAAAGAGGTCATAACATTCTGTTAGAAAACCCCAGTAGCTAAATGTGCCAAGGATTCTACCAAACAATTCTCAAAAACAGATCCTTTGAGTAACTGGCAGACATTTGAAAAAAAGTAATTCAAAGAAGTGCAAACTGAAGCAACAATTGATTTTTTAAAAAATATTTTATTTATTCATTTTTATAGAGAGGCAAAGGGAGGGAGAAAGAGAAGGAGAGAAACATCACTATGTGGTTGCCTTTTGCGTGCCCCCAACTGGGGACCTGGCCTGCAACCCACACATGTGCCCTGCCTGGGAATCAAACCAGCAACCCTCTAGTTTGCAGGCCAGCGTTCAATCCACTGAGCCACACCAGCCAGAGCTGAAGCAACAATTGAGATTCCATTTTTCCACCAAACAAATTAGCAAAAGCAGAAAAAAAATGAAACTACCCATATGGTAGTGCTGACGGAAGTAAGTAGCCTGTTGGGAAGCAATTTGGCAAAACCTAAAAGCCTTGACTTAGTAATTCCTCCTTTGGGAATCTACCTGAGGAAGGGTTGAATGACCGAAATGTTTCATCCAGCATTATTTAAAATAGCAAGAAATTGAAATATCTCACCGAAGGGGACTGGTTCTTTCATTTAGTTATTCAAATATTTATTGAGGTTCTACCATGGGATCATTTCCTGAGACTGCTAAACAGTGACTAGATATTCTTGATGAATCTTCTCTTAAAATGTGGGCATGTGGGTTGAATTTGTGTAAATAAATAGATGTGCATGACTATTCATAAGCTGATATGTGATTATGTGTGTTTAAGCTATGACTGGAAGGCTACACTAGGAATTCAGAAAAGAGATTGCTGGGTGAGGGGTAGAAGGCAGGATTACTTTTCACTGTACTCTTTTGCACCATCTTGAATTTTTAAACATGTACATGGATTTGGTTAGCATTTTAATAGTGCACAGTGTGTATCTAATCTTATTTTTCACAGACATGTCTTGAGTTGTTTTTGAATGATTCCATGAGTGTCTCATCTTCCTGAATATGAAAAGCTCTTCAAGGGAAGGGACTGTTTTACATTTCTTTGTATTCTCCCATAGCATTTAGCTCAATTTTGACACATAATGGGTATTCAAAAATACTTGAATAGAAAGTAGTGTAATTTGGTGCTCAAATACCCTGAGAGTAGAAGTTAAAGTCAATTGACTCTGGGTACTGCTTTAATTTTGAGTTGTATATTTTAAAGGATATCACTTATATTTTATATCATAGTTTGCTACTCTGCAATGGGGAAAACAAGACAGTCAATGACGTTCTTTAGTGGAACTCCATGTAGAAAAATGCAAAATTCCCATTTAATTCCTAGGTATCCACCTGTAATCTTAATAGTTAAATTGACTTAAAGGCCTCAGTAGCAAGTAAGGAAACTATATATAGACAATCCAAAAGCTTTAGTTATTAAAAAATAAAAATTATAATATAGGAATTATGCATTTATAACACATTAGGTTTGTTTTCCCATATGTTTGGCATCTGTAATCTGCAGCAATTCCTTTGTCATCAAATACACTTTTATTTTTCTTTATTCTCCTCTCTGTGAGAGACAGAGGATGAAGTTGTTATGGTGATAAGTTGCGTTTGCCAGTAAGTTTATCTCTTTTCTACAGTTTCGTGAATGAACCACAACATCGGTTGAAACTGGCACCTGATTTAGTGTATTGATTCCCTTCACTGTCTTTACACACACACGCCATGCCCAGAGCCATTTACTTTCATTGCGGCTGAAGAAATTAGCTGGCAAGCTACCAAAGGAAGTGTATTTCACTAAATGAAGTTCCTAAAATGCAGCTTTTGTTTTTTGTTTCTTTTCGCTCTGCCAGCAACTTCTGATAATGAGACAGGACGTTCTCTGCATTGCATAACATAAGACAGTTCAGGAGTGTTCCAGAAGGTACAGCCACTATTTGATACAGAGTACAAAGCAGGGACAGGCTTGAAGAAGAGAAGGAAGGAACTACTAGGCAAAGGATCTGTTTGTGTTTCTCCAATTCACAGGTAGAATTAGTTTGATGTTGAATGTTGGTGAAAAGGCAAACAGAAAAGGTCGGTCCGCCCCATGTGAAAACACAGGCATGGAGACAGAGGTGTCAGTAAGTTCTGTTTTAACCTGAGTGTGAAAAGGGCCAAGTTCAATGAGCAGAGTTCTCCCAGCTGGTTCCAGGGCATTTCACTGCAAAATTCTGTAATGAAAGGAAACCCACACACCTGCTGGAATGCAGTTACGCTACATGATGGGAAATTGGAAATTTTATTAAACTAGACGTATAGATGGAGTTCCCAGTACAATAACTGACAGATTACCAATGGTCAGTTGCCAGCCTGAGGCCAGAAATCAGGAAGGGTGGCCCAGTAGGATCTGGAGGATATGCCTTGTCACTGAGGGAGGGGGACAGAGCACTGTGTTTGTGCTGGTCTCGGCAGTGTTGCCTTCAGGGAGAGGAAGGCGAAAGAACAAAAAGGGAGGAAGAGAAAAGAAACCAAGGAAAAAGACAGAAGATAAAGAAATTCTCATTTCACAGAGACTAAGAAAAGAGAGAGAGGAAGAAAGAGAAGGAGGCGGAAGTTCATAGATGCCACCTCCTCTCCTCCTCTCAACAATCCCCAAGTGGTATTTTATCCCTATTCTACAGATGAAGGAGGCACAAGTGACAAATACTAGAAGTGGATCTTATAAAAAGTGAAAAATACTGTCCTCTTGACTGACTAAGGTGAAAATGAGACAAAACCACCATCATGAAGCAAACAAATAACAGATTTTTAATTAATTATCTTTAACTGTGGTAAAATACACAGAACATAAAACTCACTGTTCTAACCAGTTTGAAATGTACAGTTGGGTGCAGCCATTACCACCATCCATCTCAGATCACCTTTGAGTGCTGAAACTCCGTCCCTTAAACAACAATAATTCCCTATCGGACTGAAC